GTTATTCATGAACCCAATGATGATAAGTTTGGGCAACTGCCCCAGAAACAGATTCTCCAGGTTGCTGACACGGCTGCCAGCAGGAATGCTAAACACTTTCATACCCACAGGGTCTATGGCGTATTTAGCATTGGCTGTAAGCAAGGCCTCCACGTGGCCCAGTTGGATGCCCGGTGCTACTTTCACTTTTTTCACAAAAAGTGAGGCAGATGTGATTTTTAGTGTACAAGGGCCAGCTGCTGCAGTACCCATCACGCAGAGGGCATCTTTGTTGCATGTGCGCTTAATTTTCACATCCACGCCATTCAGCAACAGTTTTTCTTGAAAAAACAAATCGCTATGGAGATGACCAAGCAGCATTATCTTTTTGCCCTGGTCTGTTAGGTTTGCCCGTCTCCAAAACCCCTGGTTATTGCCATCCCACGCAACCATTTCATGATGGCCAGGGGTATCTTTGTAAAACAAGCTGGCAGAAAATTGAGTGGCCAGGGTGTCATTGCTGTAGTTGAGAACCAATTCAATGAAAGCTCGGTAGGGGTAACAGTTGTTGCTCTGACTTATCAGATGGTCTCCCAGAGTGACATCCAGCTGACTGAAGACAGAGGCTAGTGGGTAATTCACTAAACCCACCGCTGCCCCGGCAACAAGATCAGTTCCATCGCCTTTTACAATCTTGCAGCAAAGGTACAGCACCATATTGTTCAAGTCCATGTAATCTTCACCATTCCCAGCTATGAAAAAGTCAAGGGGGCTGGACTCGGTAATAGGTGAGAGCGGGGGGATCTCAACATACAGGCTTTTCTCAATGCAGGTCTGCGTAGGGGCTATTTGAAATGCATCCAGTTCAGATTTGGCACATTCTTCAGACCCGCAGTGAACAAAGGCCATGGCAGTTAAAATATATTTCTGTTTCCTCTATGAGAGCGTCTCTTCTTTCTCCCAGGCTGCTTCTTGGTTTTTTGTGTTTGGCTGCCCCGTCAACTTAGCCTTTCTTTTTAAGGGGTTGAGGACGTCCTGCACGTCCAGAGTCTGTTGCATGTCTCTTTCTTTTAAGGCTCCTTCTTTGAATATACATAAGACTGGACCCCTCCTGCTTTGCCGGTTTCACCACCTTATCTAGGACAGCTCAGGAGACATGACCAATCACATCTTTGGCTATGTTTTGCACCGCATTTTTAACATGAGGCTTAATAATCTCCAGACCCCTTCTCAAAAGTGGAACGGCTTTTCTAAAAAGGCTGCGAAATATGCCTCCCACACCAGCCCCGTACATCATGGGTACCCCCTGATATCCAGGAAGACCATACCCAGCCTGGGCTTTATAATAATTTCTGTACAAATTAGGGTCCCCATAGTTTTTTCATGGAAAGAATCCATTCTTTCTTCCATGGAAAGAATCCATATCCACCCCTGCTTGCCTTGGCATGGTCTAGGATAAACAGAGGGGTCATTTGGGAAAGCAGATAGACCTGGACCTGGTGGGGTTGCCTCCCAAATCCCACCCCCTCTACTCATTCCAATTGGTTCAGCATCATTCTTGGGAGGTCTGAGGCCTCTGAAACCTCTGCCAATTGGTTGGGGGTGGTGGGGGCGGGTTGTTAGAGGGGGTCACACCACCACCCTGCCACCCCATAGACCACACTTGTGCTCTGGTGGGGGGCTAAATCAGTTTGGAACCTGATAGGCCATAACTACACCATGTGATCTAGGGTGGTCCTTGCAGTCTGAGGGGTTGGGCTTTGGGGGTCTGCATGAGCTGTCCTTCTGATGTCATGGACCATGTGGTGCTGGTGTCACATCATGTGACTGGGGATGGGGGCGGGGCTGGTGATGTCACACACCACACAAGGGAAAGGGGCAGGGTTAAGGGGACAGGACTTCCAGTCCCATCCACCTGTCACATTTGCATTGAAGGGTGTTGAGCCTGTATACTACTTGCATGCTTCTACTGGATAATCAATTAGTTATTATTAAATGAATAAATGTAATAGGAGAAATCCTACTGTAGTCAGCTGAAGTTTTCCCACCAACTTGTATAGGGGCAGAACTATCCACTATTTCCTTACACTTTGTGGAGCCTGTCCTTTTCCCCCTTTGTTATTTCTGGAAACATAAAAGGCATATAAGTGGCATGCAAAAATGGCAGTTTAAATGGCTGAACAACTTTGGAGAAAAAATAAAAGACATTACACACTGCTATAGGAGACTTCTCTAGCTAGATCATAAATCTCTGCTCAGCATCTCACTAGTATTATTACTGATGAACAATACAAAACACTGTATTAAAATAATACTATTTTAACTGACTTATTTATTCTTTAACTTATATGCTTTGTACACAAGGTGACATACTTATTACATAAGATAGATACCAAATAGTATACGAGTTAACAAGGTGCTTAAATACCCATTTCCTAGACATCTTACAATTAACTCTAAATGCTCTATATAATTGAACAAGTATGTATGGGTTTAATCAGACAAGTGTTCAGTTTTTTACCAGGCAAGTGGTTTGATATCTTCTATATATACATATATATATATATATAAAAAGTTATGGCCTTAGGTTGCATCTGAATTTGGGAAATATGTACAGCAGAGGAGCCTAACCTTTCTCCCCTTCAGCCAGATGAGCAGTGCCAAGTCCCTCTATGGGCCAGATCTAGCTGATGGGCCTGATCTAGCTGCAGGGAGTTACACAGCCCAATTTTGATCCCTCTATCTGGGGCAGGGGTGGGCTGGAGCAGCCCAAATCTGGACACAGAGGGTAGGGTGAGGTACAGTGTGAGGGAAGAATTCTGGTCCTGGCATGCATGCATGGGATGGGTCAGGGCAGGGCAGCTCAGATCCAGGAGGTTATTTGGGGGGAGGGGCATAAGGGCACATGGAGAAGCCCTGATCCAGATTCACAGGGGAGGGAGAGGGAAGGAAGGCAGGGAACAGCCCAGCCTTGTCTGGATGCATGGGGGGGTGGCCTGGCTCCAATCCCACTGCACAGGCAATGGCCTGGGTAAGGCTAGAACTGGCCACTTGCAGCTTTCACTGCTCCCCGTTACCCAGTTTTTAGCTTCTGGGGGGAGCCCCACAAACTGGGTGTCATGGCTCTGCAGGCTGGATTTGACACACAGACCCTATTCTATAGTAACAGCAACTTGTTCATCCTAGGCATGCACCAAATACCATTTGAAATCAACAGCAAGACTTCTCACTGGATTTATAGGTGTGGAATCAAGCTTTACACGAGGTAAGATAATGTCATAACATCTCCTGAGCTATTGTGTATAGCCGTCTTCATTTCCATGGAATTCCCAAAGTAGCTGCACAGTAAGTAGCTGCAGTAATAAATTATACAGTGACAACATAAAACAATTCTAGGTCAGAGAAAACCTCCAAAACATTCACTCTCTCTTCACAAAACTATAAAGAGCCACACACACCACTTTCTTGCTGTGGGCCCCTATGGCGAGCTGGGCTTCGCTCAGGCCAGCTATCGCCAGCCTCCCACCTGCCTCCGGGCACACTGCCTGCCTGTCTCGCCTGCCATGCCTTGTTGGTAATTAAGTCATAGATGTTAATAAGTGGGAGACTGCCTATTTTCTTGCCCCAGTGCCAGGGGGCGCTATCTGTGGCTTCATTCCTCCCCTACATCGCAGCCCAAGCCTGGCAGATGGCATCCAGACATTATCAAGCATACCAGCCCCACACTAGGCTCCAAAATCCACCTGGCAGGACCCTCCTGTGAGCCCTCCTCTCAGGAGGCCTACGCTGCCTTCATCCGGGCAGCCGAGTGCCACATAGCTGGCTCCCCTCTTGGGCGTGGTCCCCACTCAGGACCTTCAGCCATACACAGGCCCTGACCTCACCTCAAAGGCCAGGCAGGATGCCAGGCCCGCAGCTCTGGGAGCCCCTTGTGGTGGGCACCTGGCCCTTTTGACTTTCTTGGTCCTGGCCCCAGCATGGGCCAGTTGAGGGGGCACTCTACCTCTGGCCTCACTAGCCCCACACTCTTTCTGGGTCCCCCTTCCTGGAGGTGGGGAGCTGGCGTACCTCACACCACAACTCGTGCCCCAGGGTCTCACAGGGGGCTCTCACTCCCCCCTGGGGCAGCAGGTTGTGGTGCTACTACAGATGTTACATTTGACCCACACTCTGCTTCCCAGCAGTAGAAGACTTACCAGGGTCAGGACTCACCTCTCTTGCCCTGGGGCTGAGCCCCCACTTACTCGGCCTCTGGCCCAAAGGTCGGCCTCAAGCATCTGAAGACTTCCCTGGCCTACTCCCCTTGCTTGGGGCTCCACATTGCCCCCCCTTACCTGGGGCTAATACACCATCCCTCACCTGGGGCTACAGTTCTTGACCCCCTTCACTGGGGCTACCACCACACTGGGGTCCTAATTTCCACCCCCCTTCACTTGGGGCTCCAGATCTCTGCCCCTTTCTTGGGGCTACCCCCTTACTGGGGCTCCACAACTCCACCCCCTCACTTGGGGCTACCAGACTGCCCCTCGCTTGGGGCTACAGATCTTGGTCCCCTTCACTTGGGCTACCCCCTCACTGGGGTCCTAATTTCCACCCCCTCTCGCTTTGGGCTCCAGACCACCCCCTTCACTGGGGCCAAAGGGCGGGGAGGGTTTACTCCCTGGTGGGCTCAGGTGGCCGTAGCCATGGCTGTCCCCAACTTTCCCTCTCGGGGTCCCGCACCCCCATGAGACTCAGGTGGCTTCAGCTGTACCTGGTCCCAACTCTCCCCCTCAGGGTCTTGAGCTCCCACAGGGCTCAGGTGGCCACAGCTGGCCCCAACTTTCCTTCTTGGGGTCTCGAACCCCTGCAGGGCTCAGGTGACCACAGCCACAACTGGCCCCCACTCTCCTCATCAGGGCTTGCACCCCCACAACTACCTCTGATGGAACAGAAACCCACCCGAAGGCAAGGGCTACGGTTAAGGCACCTCTACCCGCCTTTCACTGGGGTGATAACTGGCCTGGGATTTCCTGGGGGCTCCCGTGCCACTGAGAGCCCCACCAAGCCACCCACTCCCAGCAGGGTGCAGTTTTAGGTCATGTCCAGGACCAGGAGCCTCCTGACTATCCGCTAGAGCTCCTCCCTTACCTCCAGATAATATCTGCAGCCAGGCAAAGTTGTTGCCTGGCCTGCCAGCAGCAAAATGCCCTGTTTACATGGGCAGCCCTATATTCAAAATGGCTGCCCTCACCAGGCACCTGCCGGCTGATGGCTTCAGGCCCTTAAAGTGGCAGGCACAAACAATGACCTGCCACAGCCCACAGCTTCAAAGAAAATACACAATTTGCAGTGCATGTGGCAACTTCTATGCCAAAGTGTACATTGGAGCCAGGAGGGTTGTACTGGTGAAAGTGAAGCACAATTTTAACATATTTTTATTGGGATACAATCCTATCTCCTCTGCTCAAGCCTGAAGCTGGAAGTATGTTTTTTTTTTTTTTCATTTCCCATCAATCATGCCGCTTCCTGCTGCCTATGAGCATTCCAAGTGTAACTATAAGTTTCCAATGATGTGAGCAGTCAGACACAGCCAAATGCTTGGTCAGGTAATACAAATGCTGCTGCTCCTCTCCAGCCAGCTTTGCTGTGCATCTAGAAGAGATTTTTCCCTCTCCCCCTCCTCCCACTTCCCAATGCCCCCCGCATAAATAAAACTAATTACAGTATAGACATGAATAATGATCCCCCTCTAATGTTTAATTCTGTCTTGCAAATTATGTATGTCCTCCCCCTACTTTAGGTAGATTCTCTTGTCACCAGCTGTCAAAATCAATGTTGTACACATCTTTTCTGCAAAATTTATAGCAAATCCATGGCAAATGTTAATCTTAATGTAAAACAAGGGGTCAATTCTATTAATTGTGTGG